CTTATCATCTGGAGGGCTGATTAATGGAGGTAGGCGAATGATTGAATTTTCTTTTTCTTCCTTCCCTTTGGTTCCAGACAATGGGTCTAGTAGGGTTATCGCAAAGTTTTCTTCCCCGATAATTACCCATCCTTTTGAAGACCCACAAAAGCACTTATTTAAAAAGTTCAATTGCAAATCCAAAACTTTTTCATCCATGAGGTTGCATAAGTTCCATGTACCTTCTTGGTCGGTAGAAATCATAAGCATTGGAGGTTGGTCACGACCTAACAGCTTAGCACGATGACTTTGATTATGTTTTGCTACAGAGTGCCATGACATACACACAATACTGAATCGCGCAAAGTCCAGTTGCGCCACTAATCTATCTACAACTGAATCTAAAAGATGTTGTGGCAATCCAGCCCAATCTGAAAGACAAAATAAGTATTTGTGAGTAAGAGAACATGAGAAGGAAAATATGTTTTGAAATCAGGAACGATTTATAAATTATATACTTTGATTCATGGAAAACTAGAGGATATTATATATGATAACAACTTGCAAAATAAATGAATAAAACAAAGATAATAGGATATGTACAGAAAAGTTTCATTGAAGAGAACATGCCTGAATCCATGATTTTCTAACTGAGAAGAAGACTGCCCGGAATATGTAGATTGAATGCTATGAATCATATATGAATCAACGAGATGATCACCCCTTATATACAAGTACTTCCACTCCTTTTCCCTGATAGAATAGGATTTTTTATATTTTTTTATGAAAAAAAAAGGGAAACAAGACTCCGTTGACAATAAATTAGGAAAGTAATTAGACGAAGAACACGTTGTACAAGTTATTTCCTTTTATATTTAATTTTGCTTGTGAATTGCATCAATATTGTTTTTAACAATATTTGCGGGCTGCGGGCTGCTACTCAAACTAAATGGGCCCAATTTGAAAGTAAAAGGCCCATCTAATTTATAAGATAGTTAAAGAGTTTGGCCAATGGAATCTTTTCCTTCCTACTTCATGAAGTTTGTAATGTGTAAATAATCTTCCTAAGATTTAAAGCTTAGTGTTAGTTCTACGCTTTGTGTTGCATGGTTTGATTTTAAACCTTGGCTTACAGGTGATTCCGAGAAAATTGGTTCAGGTGGTCACACCATCAACCACAACTGACGGAAATACCTTCGGGTCGCGGAGGTCTTGACCCTTGGGCCTGGACTTGTGGATGACCACCGGCTCCCAGTCCTGGGTTATCACTCCTGGGTTTCTGCTCGGCATCGTCGGAGATCTAGAGAGAGAGTCGGACGGCTATACTGTTTTGTGTTAAGAAAAAAGATCGTGTTGAAGTAATTTGCATGATCGGTGTTTATGGATTTCTAGTGAGTGCATGTCAGATGTATCCTTTTCATCACAACACAAAGTGCATACAAGAAAGTGGCTTCATATAATTTGTACCATCAACAAAGTGCATACAAGAGTGAAAGCCGGTGTTCGCTGACACAATGTTGGTGTTCACTAACCTTGTTATTCTGAATTGTGTGTAGTTCTCTGACCCTGATAGATGTGAAGTTGTATATTATTTTACTTATATAAGACTATGAAAATAATGGAATGTTCTTACATCTGCAATGCCACTCCAAAAGACTAGTGAAATGCCATTTGCCTTAGATATTGCACTGTTAATTTTGGCATTTTAATGGGAATATATCTGCAAAAACTATGAAAAGAGAAATCATGTGTCACTCAGTTCCTCAATTTTCTCACAGAATTTTCACTGACAATCAGCCTAACTTGACAGATACTAACATTGATGGAAGAATTTGGGATGAAGCCAGATGTGATAACATTTAGCACCATAATGGATGCATGGAGCTCGGCAGGGCTCATGGAAAAATGCCAGGAGGTCTTCAATGACATGATAAAAGCTGACATAGAACCAGACATCCATGCATTCAGCATTCTTGCAAAAGGCTATGTGCGTGCTGGTGAGCCTGGTAAGGCTGAGTCAGTTATGATTTCCATGGGAAATTATGGTGTGCATCCAAATGTTGTAATCTTCACAACCATCATGAGTGGGTGGTGCACAGCTGGCAAAATGGAGCATGCTTGGAGTATCTATGAGAAAATGTGTGAAATGGGCATTGCCCCCAATTTGAAAACTTTTGAGACCCTAATCATATGTGTCTTGCTCATACGTCTGCATTTAGAGTGCAACCACTGATCATATGTAGGAGGTAGTTTCAGACTCAAGTTGGGATGTGCAGGCAGTTTGTAAATACACGTCCAGTGGTGTAAATAAATACATTGATGAGGAAACAGAGGCGACTCAGATGATGCTATTTCGACGAGGGACAAAACATTATCCTGCTCCAGAACATTTCCTTGGTTCTTAGATTCATGAGTGTTGATGATTCTTTGCTATTCAGAGCTGTTGATAGTGTTGCAGCATATACTTCCATCTCTATTGGTGTCCCTTCTGATTGTGCAAGTCAAAGTGTAGGAAATTATGTAATTTGCTACATGAAATGTGTAACATATGTTGATAATTCAGGGCCAAAGATAACAATTTCTTCTGATATATATTTGTTAAATGAAAATACTATTCACAAATGAGTAATGAAAAGGGTTACTTTTGAAAAACGAAGTTTTATGTTGCAGGCTAGCAGCCAGCCCCTGTAGCTTTTCTTCTCTGCCACAGTGATTATTCTCATGTTAATTTTACTGCAATCTCCCTAAAGTGGAGTTTTAGCTCAAGAATGCATTTAAGCTCTCAATAAACACAATTAAAATATTGGAGCGGGTCCCACTGCACTACCAACAAAATGGAGAACATTGGAAGCTCACGAATATTTAAAACTAAAATAAAAATTCAAAAAAAGTAAATACCAAAGGCTAAAAATCTGCAGATTGAATGCATAGCTAGCTTGAGACAGAGGGAGAGAAAGAGATGCTCTCTCTACGTGTCTCCCATCCAAAACCCTAACTTTAACCATACCCACTTCTCCACACCCATCAAAATCCCTAATTACACAGTGCTCAATCTCCACCCACTTTCAAGAACCCACTTCACCCCTTCTATAAAAACCGCAAATAATAAAACCCACTTCAAAAAACTTGCTTGCAATGCTTTAAAGGACTCTGGTGAGGAAACCAAGGCGGTTTGGGACCGTGGAGGAGGTGGTGATGATGGTGGAGGAGGAGGCGGTGGTGATGGCGGAGGGGATGATGAGCAGGTGGAGAAGAAGAGGGGGCCTTTACCGGAATGGCTCAATATCACTAACGACGACGCGAAGACAGTCTTTGCGGCGATAGCAGTATCGCTTGCTTTCCGGTCTTTCATAGCTGAGCCGAGGTACATTCCTTCGCTGTCCATGTATCCTACTTTGGATGTGGGAGACCGAATTGTAGCAGAAAAGGTCATACAATTTCTTTTAGAAGAATGTAAAATGACAATAATTTTATTCCAAGTGTACAATACTATTTACTAGATAAATTTGATCTTCAAGTAAACTGTAAACATAGTTCTTCTGTTCAATTTAGATTTGCAAACGTCTCTCTATCTCTCTCTCTCTCTCTCTCTCTCATATCATTTCACCCACCATCAACTCACAAGCTCTCCCAAGTGGGATTAGCAAAAACAGAATCATGATGTCTCATTCACGGGAATTATGAAGCCTTGTCCTTTATCCTAACTACCTTCTAATTCTTTAACCTCATAATCATTTCCTGAATGCCATTTCCGATCTTTTTCTCAAAAGAAACAAGCAACAATGTATGTACTAGGAAACCCCTATGGCTTGAACAAAAATTTAGGTCCCCGGCAGTGATAATTTCCATTGACATATTGACAAGTACTACACATATATTATGGCCAAATTATTCTGAAAAACAAAGAAGTCCAATATATGCACCAAAAAGAAAAGGAAAACTCAGGAAAAAGGGTTGAATTAGTGTTAAGTTGGTAAACATGGTAAAGCACTAGGATTCTGTAGATACCACCATAATTGATATATAGCTTTAAAATATATCCCAAAGAATCAAAAAGCTCCTCATGGAATTGGTGACCATGATTTAATCATTCTTAACAAAACCCTTTTCAATCATGAATTAGTAGAATGCAAGCAACCAAAACTCTAGTTAATCTTAACCGTGAGCCCCCCCCTCACATATTTACAAGAATCCATATATCTACATAGTTTCTCACTCTCTTAATGATCTCTCTATGCTTTGCTGCTCTAACCACAATGTCAAGAAGAACAGCACAAGTCCTCGACTCGCTCAATTCTATTAGCACCACCCAGATTTTCAGAGAATCCATCAGAGTTGTACTTCTCCATCCAACCCATTTCCACTCCATCTCCATCTTCCTCTTTTCCCCTCTGCCAGCCTCCCTCTTCATCTCACACTTTCTTCTTCACCATTTCCCCCAAATACCTTCCTCAACAATCAAAATCACAGATCATATACTTGCACATCCCCTGCCCAAACTACTATCCAAAACCATTGTTCACATTGCTCTCTGCTTCCCTTCATCTATCACCTTCTCACTTCTTGGAAGAGCTGCTACTATTCAAGCAGTTTCAGACAGTTACAATGGAATAAACCTTGACAGAAGAAGGTTACTTGTGAGAAGTGGGCTCAATTGGATCAAGCTTCTGAACACATGTCTTTGTGAACTTATCATTGTACTTGGGCTCCTTGGAGTTTTGGTTGCGAGCCTAGCGGTTGTACCAAAGATACTATTTGCATGGGGTGTCTGCTCAGAGGTCTTAGGATTCTGGGGTGTCCTTGGGTTTCTAGGGGTACCCTTTTGTGTGGCGTTTGCGCATGTTATGGTTGTGGGGAACCTAGCTAGGGTTTTATCAGTGCTGGAGGGTGAGTGTTATGGATTTGAGACATTGATAAAGGCCAAGAGACTCATGGAAAGAAAGCGAAAAACAGCTTTGGTTATGGCTTTGTTGAGTAACGTGGGCTTTAGGCTAGTTGAATGCTTGTTTGACTTTAGGATGAGCAAGGGCATCAATTTGTGGGAAGGTCCCCTGCTGGTTTCCATGTACTCTTTGCTGCTTGTTTTCGACACCGTCATGAATGTTGTATTCTATTATACTTGTAAGCTTTGACGTTTGAGCTAGAGTATTCATTTATTTAGCCTTTCTGTTTTTTTGTTTTTTTTCTCTCTCTGGATTGGGTGTAAGGAAAATGTAGCAGGAGCTTGGCTCAAAGTAATGGGGTTAGGCCAAAAGAGGCAAAGGAGCAAGATCATGGCGATACAGATTTCAGGGTGGAGAAGATGCCAAATTAATTTACCCTTTTTCCCCAATTTTTCATTTCTGCTTTTTTAAAACTGAAGCCAATTCAGGGTGGATCAAGAAGCAAGATCGTGGCAATACAGATTTCAATAAAATGAACAATGCTTTGCAACTTTGGAAACCCAATCGCATTCCTGAAAGACTAGGAAAGATAACAGCCGCTGATACAGTAACAGAGATGAATATGTTGCATGTTAATCAAAAGCCTCCATTCTCATCAAATTACATATAAAGTCTGTATTTTGGCCAATGGTTATATATAAGATAAAACTTCCCAAAAAGAATTCGCAATGTTAGCAAAGCCAACAGATGTTCCTCCCCAGAGTAAAGGAGAGAGCAGCTTCAGATGCCACCATCCTTCAAAATAATAAAAGTCCTGAGACAATAAATTAGGACAAGGAAACTCCATTATTTAAGAACATTTTATTATCTGATGACAATAAAATTCAACCTTGAAGAGTGCATTAACAATATCTTATCCTCCAGAACATAGAACTGATACAAAAGCATTTTAGATCTGTCTGCAGCTAGAAACAATTAAGATGTACACCAAAGCAAGTAGTGTTTGCTAGAAACAACGGAAATATATTATATACATTAACAAAGCAACAGACCCTAGGGAGGTTTTGCTGGACAATCTAGACTCCCCTGGGTTACCTCAGGGATTTGTGAAACGTTCACAATGTCGGTCAATGCCGAGACTTTGCAAGTCGTTAACCAACAGAATTGGACCTTCTCAAATTATCTAAACCATAAGGTGAGCAAGTTCTACTGTCTGATAGTCTAAAGCCTTACTCTGAAAATGTTCCCAGATGACTTCAACTTCGTCCTTATACCCAAGACTGTTTTGCATTTAATATTTTCATCGAACCACTATCTTTTTTTCCTTATTCAATCAATTCAAATGGTTGGTCACTACAATTTCGCTTTAAAGACAATGCATCTCATACATAACTTAAGTCACAAACATGCAACACATGTGCCCCTGCAAATATGAATCTACTCCATATACCCATGAAAGTCACTGTTTGTGGGATTCTGAGTTCTGGAGTAAGGAAGAGAGATCAACATCTGAACAACATTAACACCATATCTTTAATGCATTTCATGAAATCAAATGCTTTCCAAAACAGTTCTACTCAGCCAATGGAACAAATAGAAGTGAGTGTCAACAAAGGAATGAAATCAATGCATTAATTCGTTTTGAGCAAGCAATACAACATAACACAATTATGAGCAGACTTAGGATATCTTAATACAATAATGCCTCATAAATTATACTAAAACAAACAAAACCTCCAAATTTAATGCAATTGTGGCAAGCAATTCAGTATGCCAAAGTAAAGACAAATACCATACAGACCCTCACCCGCATCATTCACTGAGATCCTCAGCAGAAACATCCGTTTCATCATCATCGTCAGCTTCCTGAATTTTCGCAATCTCCACTTGTGCTCTCTCAAGAATCTGCTTCTTCTGAAATTCCAACTCCTTATGGAAATCTTTCCTCATCTTCTCCAACTCCCTCATCTGCTGTCTCTTACTACTCTCAATCTTCTCATAAATCTCCCCAAACTTGTGAATAGAATCCGCCAAGACTCTATACGAAGACCCTTCCTCCCCCCTATCCCCTCCACGCATCCCCATTCGTGGTGGAAAGGCATCCTGATCATCATTCCCATCCTGATCATCATCTGTCTCTGACTCACCAGGACTATCCCTCATCTCATCAAACCCATTTGACCGCTCCAAATATACCCTTGTGTTCATAAACACATACTCGCCGGAATCTACCCCGCACGCAAGCCCGCATTCTTGCCTCAAGGACGAAGCCATTAACATATCCATCTTCTTAAAGTAAGCCCATTTGCTAGAATTCAACCCCATTTCTTCAACTTTCTCCTTCTCCTTCTTGTACTTCCTCTTAAGCATATCCAACATACTCCTGCATTGCGTGTCAGTCCTTTCGATCTTAGACGCCTCTGAAACCTTCTCGGCCACTTCGTGCCAATCTTCAGACCTCAAACTCTTCCTCCCAAGCTGAAGAAACCTATCACCCCAAACCTCTAACAGAACAAACACCGCGTGCTCAGTCCAATCCTCTTCGCCCCGAGGGCTCGGATCCCTATACGGCACTCTCCCGCGAGGCGCAAACTCGTAGCTTGATTCCAAATTCTTCACCTTCCTCTTCTTCGTGTGCCTTTCAAAACCATCGTCCGCTTCAAAATTCCGATGTAACCCACGTGGGTGCTCCTCTTCCTCTTCCTCTTCCTCGTCGTGGTCTCGTCGACCATTTCCTTCATCAAACTCGTCCAATTCGTCGTCGTCTTCCTCTGCGTATCGATTGGCAATCGGGCGAGAATATTGGGTGTTTCGTATATTGATTTTTCGGCGACCAGAAGAGTTATGATGATTGAGAGAGTAGGCTTTCGAATGGTACCTTGCGTCGTCATCCATGTCGTCCATATGAGCACAAAATCGAAAACTTTACAGCAGGAAGAACCCTAATAACCAATTAACGTAAAACCCCAAACCAATCTAACAATGAACATACAAATTGGGGGTATTTGTTTGGGAAATTGAAAATTTGTGTAACTGTTCTGTTTTCTGAAGAATCCAAACTGAGAATTATGAGATATTAGAGGGAATGAGCTGAACTCCGAGAGCTGAACGAAACCCTAATTTGGTTGGTGGCTTAGATTCAATTCAAAGGGTTTCGGGTTACGGGTTGCCGAAATGGGTTCGTAAAAAAAAGGATAAGATGAAATAAAATGGACGGGAATATTTGTTTGGGCCGAATGGTTACGGGTCTCCCAATGCTAAAAGTGGGTTACCCGGCCCAATGAATAGTCCAGCGATTACTTGAATTTGAGAACTCGTATCTAGAAAAATTATCAGATATGAACAATCAAAATGCATGAAATGTCAAAAGGTCTGGGGTTTGCCCAGGCCCTGGGTGCCGGTAGCCTCTTCCTTCTCTAAACTTTCTGTTACAAAAAAAAATAAAAATTGCATGAAGTGTCTCTCAACTAGCGATTTGGATTGCAATCTTTAATATTATGTTTTTTTTCATACAAGTGATATTAACAATGACGAATTCGAACACAACACCTTAAAATGTATGACAAATGCAAAAATAAGCCAAACTATATTTGGATGATGGGTTTACCTCTGTCAACCAAACTATATATCTAATAGTTCTATCCTGTCCACGTAGTAAAATACATTGGTTGTCGATGTTGTGACATATTTATTCTGTGCAACTAATTCATTATCCTAACCTACCTTTTCTTTTTTTTGAAATGAATTGGTTGGTCGATCTCATCTTCCTGTTTCCCGTTTTATATTTAACGATTAATTAATTGGGGTGCCCAAGTATTAAAGGATCAGAATTTGGTTATCGAGAAAGAGAAGAAGGCAAGGACTGAGAGAGAGGGAGAATAATTTTTTGATGGGGAAGATAGAGAAGGTAGCTAGGGTTTTTTTTTTGGGGGGGGGTGTCAAAGGTAGCTAGGGTTTGTAGTCACAAGGAGATAGGGGATTCAATTAATAAAAGTTGAAATATTTGGGTGGGGACCGTGAATTATGAAGTTTTTCTTCCCTCCCAGAAGTCACGGGGGGTCCCATGATTAATATGAAGGCAAAAATAAGCCAATCACGTAAGGGAGCATGGAATCGAGCTGGACTGGACTGGCTGCACTGTGACTGTGTGTGCTGTAAAAGCTAAAGGTAAAGAGAGACTACGTACTGTCCCAACTTCCAACTATCATCAACATGTTATCATACAGAATAGATAGATAGAGTAGAGATTACTGAATTAATTTGTACAAGCTTTTCTCTGCTCGGCCCTATATAAACACTAGCCGCTCTATCTATCACTATCAAACATTTTAGTAGCTAGCTAGCTATGGGAATTTCGATAGTGAGGGTGGGGAAGGTACTTTTGGGGGTGGCTGTGGTGATGATGAGTTTCATCTCTGACTCATGCGTACAAGGAATAAGGAAGATGGAGATGAAGATGGAGATGAAGAAGAATAAGGGTGGTGAAGGTGATGATCATGGCAACAACAAATTAGGGAAAAAGGAGCCAGAGTGGTTCTTTGATGGTCCTGCTGCAGGCAATCCCAATGTTCCTGGTGGGGTTAGTGGCGGTGGTGGTTTTGGAGGAGAGGGGAAAGGGTTTGGTTTTAGTTTTGGCGGGCAGGGATCCTATAGTTACAGCTATGGTACTTCTGGGAAACCTGCCAATACAATTGGTTTTGGAAAGCCTGACTGTGTTGGAAAAGGTGGCGGAGCTGGTGGTGGGATAGGCAAAGGTGGAGGAGCTGGTGGTGGGATAGGCAAAGGTGGAGGGTCTGGTGGTGGAAGCCACCATAAGACTAAAAAAGAGAAGAAGCACCATCAAGGTGGTGCTGGAGGTGGAATTGGGGGAGGCATCGGCAAAGGAATTGGTGGTGGAGGTCATGGTGCTCAAGGAGCTGGTCATGGAGGCATTGGCAAAGGAGGTGGTGTTGGTGGCGGCATTGGTAAAGGAGGGGGTGTTGGTGGTGGCATCGGCAAAGGAGGGGGTGTCGGTGGCGGCATCGGCAAAGGAGGGGGTGTCGGAGGCGGCATTGGCAAAGGAGG